ACTGATGTCTTCAAGGGTTCTACCTAACCTCTGTTCCAACTGGTTCAGAGTTTCTATTTTAATATTTAGATCTTGAATCCATTTTGATTTTAGTTTAGTGCATGAGCCTCTGGTTCTTTGCATTGTCCTTAGCAGACACTCAGGACCCTCCTGGTCTTCCTTCCCCACCCAGGTTATTTGTAAACAGGAGTCGCTTTAGTCCTGAGACCCTGCAGTACCTGAACTCTGGCTGCACAGAGCCCATGTGTGTGCAACTTGAGGACTACAGCCAAGTCCGTGACAGCGTCCAGGCCTATGTCTCAGGAGATGTGCGGGTCTGGATTGGGACCCAATACACCATGTATGGGCTCTATGAAGTGATACCTGAGGTGGGTTTGCAGGGCCCTAGCCCATGCTAGGTACTGACCCCAGCTCAGTCTGCTGGTCAGTGGGCAAATGTGCAGTGTGTTCCTTTCTAGGCCTCTCTGGGAAGAGGCAGAAGAGGAGGAAGCAGGTATGTTTGTCCACAGGGGGCTCATACAGTTGTTGAGGAGACTAGAGAATACAGCCTGGTCAGCAGAACCTGACACTGAACCTTGGCTCTGCTCCTAACTGGCTGTGCAGTTGACCTTGAGCAAGTAGCTTAGCCAACTAGGTCTCTGTTTCATTGCCTAGAAAATGGCAAGAGTCCCGCCTCATAGTCTGGGGTTTAAAAGAGATGGGACACATCAAGCCCAGTGGCTGACACAAGGTGGCCACTCTCTATAATATGGACAGGAAATTCACGTGGTCAGAACAGCCCATCATCTGATGCAGGCTAGGATCTGAGCCATTCCAGAGTGCTTATGGCAGTGAGCTGCCCAGCTTGGCAGTGTTAATCAAGGAAGCCTGCCAGGAGGGAAAGAGGAAGGGAAAGAGGGCAGAGGGAAGGTTAGGCTGGACACTGAAGACTAGGAAAGACATGTACCCAGAGAGCACCAGAAGGAGAGGGCATTGAAACAAGGAGCAGCAAGTTTCACCTCAGCTGGGACTTCCTGGCAATTCTAGAAAGCACTACTGTGCTCTGGAGGATGCTCCCAGCCCTCTTCTTCCTCCTTGTTCCCAACAGGAGAAACTCGTGGCAGATACCTACTCCCCAGTGATGATAACCAAGGCGGTGAAGAACAGCAAGGAGCAAGCCCTCCTCAAGGCCAGCCATGTAAGTCCGTATGCAGGCAGACATAGCCTCTTGGCAGCTCCTTGTCTGATGGATTAGAGAAGAAAGCCTTCCATAGCTTTTCAAAGCCTTCCAAAACTGAGGAGAGCCTCACTGAAACAAAGGAGCAGACATCAAACTCCTGGGAAGCATCCTGCCCCTTAACGACTCACACCAGTATAGTATAGTGGTTTAAAGTACAGACGTGAGAGGTAAAGGTTCTGAGTTCAAACACCAGTGCCACCCACTTCCTAGCTGGGTAACCTTGGGCAATCACTTTTCTAGGCCTCAGTTACTTCATTAGTAAGGTAAGGGGGATCAAAATAGTAATCTTACAGCACACAGTTATTGTGAAGATATAATAAAAAAAATGCATGTCATAGAGGGTGATCAAAATACACCATGAGTGTTTACATTTTAAAAATGTATTAGAGTAAAAGACACATTGCCATACATTTTCCTCATTTTAAACACACTTATCCCATTGTCTTGGAACTTTCTGAAGCCGTTCTGGAAGTCTTCTTTCGTGAGTGTCTTTATGGGGTTTGTTCAAACTGTGAGTGCTGCTGCCAAGTGCCATCCCACAGAAAGGCATTACAGTGCATCCTTATCCACCTTATTCACTGGATCTGGCACTGTATGACTTCTGGGTCTTCCCCAAAGTCAAAATGACCATGAAAGCTAAAAGTTTTAAATCAGTTCAAGACTTCAAGGCAACCACAATGGCACAACTCAAGACACTCATGAGAGAAGATTTCCAGAACTGCTTCCGAAAGTACCAAGAATGATGGGGAAAATGTGTTCAAAGGGACAGGCAGCATATTGAGGGGATTAATGGCAATGTGTCTTTTACTGTAATAATTTTTTTAAATGTAAACTTGCATTGTATTTTTCAAACATCACACACACACACACACACACACACACACACACACACGTAATGCTTTAAGCACTGCCTGGAACATTCTATTACCTGTAATGATTTCCTCACCCTGGCAAGAGAATGACTCACCTTCTTTTTAGGACAAGCTTGTTAAGATAAGAGTAAAATAGGGCTGGGCAAGGTGCCACACTCCTGTAATCCCAGTACTCAAAAGGCTGAGGCGGAAGGATTGCCATGAGTTTGAGTCCAGTATCAACAATTTAAGGAGACCCTGTCTAAGGAAACAAAAAAACAATAAATAGAATAAAACATTTCACAAATAAAAAACGTTCTCTTAGGGAAAATTTTCAACATACATTATGGTAGAGAAAATAGCATAATGAACCCCTGTGGCCCCATTACCCAGCTTCAACACTCAACAATTCGGGGCCAGTTGTGTTTCCTCTATAACCCGGCTAAAAACTCCATACATAACCTCCACTGCCGCTGGCTTATTTTAGAATAAATCCCAGATATCATATCATTTCTGCTGTCAACACATCAGGAAATATCTCTAAAGATAAGAATGCTTTTAAAAACATGAGCACATTATGATCAGATATAAACATTAATGAGAATCCTTTGGTATCAAATAGCCAGTCAGATCCTCCTGTTTTTAAAGCTCCAAATCCCAGAACAGCCACCAGGGAGCTGTGGCTGACACTCCTCCCCTTCTCTGTCCCCCCCCCCACACACACTCCAGGTTCGGGACGCTGTGGCCGTGATCCGGTACTTGGTCTGGCTGGAGAAAAACGTGCCCAAAGGCACAGTGGACGAGTTCTCAGGGGCAGAGTTCATGGACCAGTTACGAGGGTGAAGGACTGACTCTCTTTCAGTCCGGGGGTAGGGGCAAGGAGGGTAATTGTTCTTCTAGGTAGGGAGAAGGAAGATCCTCCTTGTATTTGGAAGTCAGAGCAACAGGTTCTTGGGTGGTCTGGGAGCTGGCGAGGGGGTGTTGGGTGACATTCCCCAGCCCGGCTGAAAGCTGAAAGAGGGACAACCCAACAGCACCCCCTAATGTCTGCTTCAGACCCAGACTTGCCGTGCCTGGGGGAAGCTGGCTCTGGCCAGGCTACACTGGACCACTTGAGAATTTCCAGTAGGGAGTAGGGCTCCCACGGCACCATCACACTGTAGGTTTGAGGTGCATGACTGGCTCGGGGAGATTTCAGATACAGGGAGCTAGCTTTCTTCCCTGCCATCTGTAAAATGGAGATAGAGGGGGAATAATTGGTGTCTAAGTCTGACCTTCTCTGATCTTGAGTTCTCTGTGACAGGACAGGGCTTGGGGAAATGGAATCAGGAGGTGGGGCTGGAGGTACCAAATGGAGTGGGGCTGCAGCAGAGTAGAGGCAGCTACGATCTTCGTTTGATCTTATGAGATACCGGGGCACAGCCTAGTCCCTGGGCACATTTACTGACCATTCCTTGCCTTACACTCTCCAGAAAGGAAGACTTCTTTTCCGGACCCAGTTTCCAGACCATCTCTGCTAGTGGCCTGAATGCTGCCCTTGCCCACTACAGGTACTTCAGGAGAATGAATTTTCCTGGGCTGGGGCTGGGGTAGGGTAGGAAATACTCTGGGTCCTGAGGCTACATTTAAGGTTTGAGGCCCTCAGCTTGTTCGAAGTGGGATGGAGCTTGATCTCAGGTTAGGAGCCTCCTTGAAATAAAGACCTGAGCAAATTTTTCCCCAAAAGACTGAGACTTTATGAACATTTGGCTCTAAGGGATGCAGAGCGGAGATTTGGATGCTATTAGATGCTTTTCTTTGGCTTCTTGTGAGTTATTTATGTAAAGTAATTCTTTTTTTAAATTTTATTTTATTGGTACATTTTAGGTATACAATATAATGACAATCATCATTGGAAATTTGCACCTTTACTTAATCTCTCTTGGTTCTTATTTTTCCCCCTTCCCCTGCCCTCCCTTCAACCCCTCCATCCCTCCCTATTTACAAAGACTTTGTTTCCATTTTTCCATTTTCTCATATTAATTCCATTCCCTTCTTTCCTTTCCCCTACCCCTCCCACTTCCCCTTCCCCTTTGCCCCTTTTCTTCCTATTTCACATTATCTATTATACTTTTTACTCCTTATTTACACTTTCAGTTTCTCACACTGGAGAAACTATTCAGTATTTACACATGTGTGTCTTATTTATTTCACTTAAGAGTATGGCCTCAATGTGAATCCATTTAGCTATAAATGTGTCTAATTTCTCATTTTTTTATCGCTGAATAGTACTCCATTTTATTTTTAAAAAACCACATTTTCTTTATCCAGTCTCCAGTTGATGGGCATTTGGGCTGTTTCCAAGTTTTAGCTATTACAAACTGTGCTGCTATGAACATGGGTGCACATATATCACTGTGGTATGATTCTTTTAATTCTTTGGGGAAGATCCCCAGCAGTGGAATAGCAGGGTCAAATGGGACTTCCAGTCCTAGTTCTTTGAGGTATCTCCATACTGATTTCCACAGTGCTTGCACCAGTCTACACTCCCACCAGCAGTGGAGCAGGGTTCCTCTTTCCCCACAGCCCCGCCAGCATTTGTTATTGGTTGATTTCATAATAGCAGCCATTCTTTCTGGGGTGAGGTGGAATCTCAGCATTGTTTTCATGATGTAAAGTAATTCTTAAAGTTCATGAGCAGTCATGGACAAAGTCCTATTCACTCAGCCCAAACCAGCCATGGTAGGCCCAGGATGTAGACTAGCCAGATATTAGCTCCATAGAAAACAAACCGTGGCATCCCTGCCTGATGAAATGGGGTGGGAGGGGGCACTGACCAGATGCCTCTGCCTAGCATGGGCATGGCAGGAAGAGGTTGAATGCCCCTCCAGGGGATGACCTGGCATAGCCCAGAATTCCCTCCTCTGGTGCCTCCTGGTATCTCCCAAGCCTTGCTCCAGCCCCTTCTCCCCAGCAAAGCTAGAGAATAGCAGGGTTGCTAATCCTCAGCTCTACTCACTCTGTCTCTCCAGCCCCACCCTAAAAGTCCCCTCCCTTCCTGTGTCCTGGCTTCGAGGGACCCTCTGATCTCTGAGGCATCCGGAAGTTAGTGAAAGAGCTCAGAATGGAGCATCCGGGTCCAGGCCTAGCTTCTCCCTGCTCTCTTGTGTGGCCTTGTGCAAGCTCCTTTGCTTATAGAGGCCTGCATCTCCTTATGTAAAAGGAAGTAACTAGACTGGGTGGTCTCTATGACTCTCCTAGCTCCCACGTTCTGGGCTCTTTCCTTCCTCCCTCCTTTGGGAATCAAGGCCTTTCTTGGCCAAGTGCAGGATAATCAGAAGCATGCTAGGCACAGCAGCAGCAGCAGTAGCAGCAGCCAAGTACTCTTCCAGGGCCCTTTTGGAGGCAATGACTTCCCTAGAGTAATGACCCTGCAAGCCCAGACCAGGCTTCCCTCTGCTGTCACCCAGGGACCCCCCAAAGCCTAGTGCTTGGTCAGGCTGCTCTCCTCTCAGCATTCTCTCTTGTTCTCAGCCCGACTAAAGAGCTGAACCGCAAACTGTCCTCAGATGAGATGTACCTGGTGGATTCTGGGGGACAATACTGGTAATGTACTCCCCACCACACCTGCCTGGCTGTCTTAGCTCAGACATCCTGGGGTGGCCAAAGCATGCCAAAGCTTCCTTTTCCTGGGCCATGAGTTCACCTGAGCCTGGAGAAACCTGCACTGAATGGGTTCTGAACATCCTTCTCATTTTCACGTGGCAGGGGGCGGTGTCAGTGCCCAATGGGAAGCACACAGAAGCCCAAATGGTGGGGGTACTCATGCAGTACTTCTGCTTTGTTTTGTTTTTTGGTACCAGGGATCGAACTTGGGACCTTGCGCTTTCAAGGCAGGTGCCAGAACCACTGAGTGAAATCCCCGGCCCACCCCATGCAGGGCTTCTGTGAGAATAAGGAATAGATGCTCCTTGCTCAAGTAAAATTTCTTTTTAAGTCCACACATTATTGCACAGCCCTGCCTGGATGCACAAACACACCCCTACACTCTCACACAGCCTGCACACCGCCAGCTCCATGCATACTCTGGAGCCTCTGTTATGTCTCCCCCTAGGGTTCAGGTGCGATAACCATGTCAAGTAGGGGTGGAGCAAGTAAGAGAAGCAACTCTTTAGGTACATTTCCCTTGCACAGTGCACAACCCTGCTCAGGCAGGACAGCCATGCACATTAAGCTAGCCCTAATCCTTCCAAGTGTGTGACTAATCATTGGCACCAGAGCTGATTTAGCTGACCTGGCCTCAGAGATGTTCCATCCTCATCTAGGAAACAAGTAGACTGTGGGAAGCTCAGGGTGAAGCAAAGGGAGGGGTGTGCTGAACTGAGGAAGGTGCAAAGAGTAGTTTCAGAAGGTTTCCCAGCTGCTTTCCTGTGGCTATGGTGACTGTGCCGTGGCAGAGGCTCTTCACGTGTTCTTAGTGCAGCTGTCGGGAGCCAGTGTGGCAGGTGCCAGCTTGGCAGCCTTTACTAGTCACCAGCTCTGTGCTGTGTGTACTTGAGATGGCTGATGTGCAAAGGGGAAGTGAATTTGTTGGGGCGTTGTTGGCTTGGGGCATGCTCAGAGTAGGGTGAGGCTGGGGAAATGGTCACCTCACTTCCTCTTCTCTCCTTCTGAAGCAGTTCACCATGCCCCATGACCTAGTCCTGAGGAGGAGCCCCCAGGACCACAGGACCATTTCTCCCTCCCCTTACCTGGGAGGGGATCACAGGTGCCATCCCACCGAAGCTCAAGGTTGGGAGTCAGACCTTCTGGCTTCACCTCCCTGGGACTCAGCAAATCCCTGGGTCAGGTCCATGTTCACAAGGAGTATGGGGAGTCAGTGCCTGCCCTGCGTGGCTTCACCGAGGCCCAGGGTCTCCCAGCCTCAAGGCTTCAACTGCCTCAACTGTGAAATGGGGATGATGAGCCCTGCTCTGCCACCCTGCCCTGGGAGCTGCAGAAGTGCCCTCTAAATGCTAAATAACTGTGTGAACATCAGAGTGTTGTGATAATGTAATGCTTCAGAAACTCAGTCTCCCCTCTGTAAAATGGAGATAATCCCTGCTGCCTCCCAGGAAGCCTGGAAGAAGCCTTGCTTTTAGAGCCAGCTGACCCACAGACAGCAGAGCTACATACACAACAGCCAAACGGGGTAGCATGGGGGAGACATGTGTATGCGGAATCGTGATTGCCAGAGAGCATAATGACTTTCAGCTTCAGAGTTCTACAGAGCCCTTTCAGGCATGGATGCCGAAGATGCGATGTTAAGGGGGGTAACTACTTCCTTTCACCTCCCACTGGCCTGATCCCAGCCCTGTGGCTGGGACCTCAGTGGAAAACACACAGAAACCCACTGCCCCAGCCTCTACCCAAGTGTTCAGCAGGGCCAGACGTGTCGGTTTCCCCTCTCCCCAGGGACGGAACCACAGACATCACCAGAACAGTCCACTGGGGTACACCCTCTGCCTTCCAAAAGGTAAGCACTGTGCGCGGCACTCCCCTGTCCACCCTCCCCAGAGGGCCCCAAGCAGTCGCTCCACGGAGAGCCCTTTCAGAGCAACAAGAAGGCCTCAGCCCAAGCTTCTCCTCCTCCCATTTTGATGCATCAATGCCCAGACATTTCTTCTGCGCTTTGTGTCTGGCCTTGTCCTTGGCAGAAAGGAGGAGGAAGGGCATCCCAAGTGGAGAAACACAGCACAAGCAAAGTCTCAGTGTGGAAAGGAGCTGGAGGTGTTCAGGAAGCCTCAAGGACTGGTCAGCCAGGGCAGAGGCTGGGCCTTGCTCTTTGCCCTAAGGAGCCTCTAGGGGTGGAGCAGGGAGCTGCATTCGTGTATTGAGCAAATAGACTGTGAGCCTGACATGCTGGAAACAGAGAAGGGAAATGCTGCCTGGATCTATGGCCTCAGTCTGCTGGGCAGCAGTTGACAAGCCTGTGTGGGTACGTGGTGAAGGGTACTGACAGCCTCAGCGCTGGTGGTGACCAGAAGAGGCCACCATCAGCCCTGACAGAGGAAGACTGGCCTGCCAACTAATCAGGCCCAACCTAAGTTTCAGGCTCTAAGGAAACCAAAGGATGGGTGAGAGTGTATCTCAGTGGTAGAGCACTTGCCTAGCATGTGTGAGGCCCTGGGTTCCATCCCCAACACTGAGAGAGGGGAGGGGGGAGAAGGACCATCACAAGCACAGTGGGAAGAGTGCTACTATTTACTTGACCACCTACTTACTACATTATGTTCATTATTGATCCACTCCCCCTCTTGACCACCTTAGGAGCTAGGTACTGTTATCATCCCGTTACATATGAGGAAACTGAGGTACAGAGAGATGAGTTGTTGGTCCCAGGTCTCAGAGTTGGGGAAACAGTGGCCAAGGCAAGATTCCAGCCCAGGAAGTCTGCCTGCCACCCCCTATAGTCACCACCTTCTACAAGTATGTCCTAAGCACATTACGATGACCCCTGTGGACTGGCCAATGGAAACCACATGGGCCCACACCCAGCTTTGGGAATGTCCCCCTCAGCCTCCTTTGGCCACCATCTAGAACCTGGGTGACCGCACATGAGAATACATCTCCCTAAACCCTGCCATACACACCCAGGCCTGGCCCCCACACCCACATGCCCCGAGGCCACACAGCCAGGAGCTCCCCTGGCTCTTCCACATCACTTCCTCTTTCCATCAGGAGGCGTACACCCGAGTGTTGATGGGAAACATTGATCTGTCCAAGCTTATCTTTCCTGCTGCTACATCAGGTGGGTGTTGGAGACCAGGCTGGACCTAGAACCTCAGACACCTGATTTCATGAGACTCAGACTGCTACCCTGAGAGGCTGGTGCAGCAGGGATTATATCCTCATCCCACCCCTATATAGGTTGAGAAAATCTAGCCTAGAGAGAGAAAAGGACTGCCTAAGGTCATACAGAGAGTTAGTGGGAGAGTCGTGCCTTGAACCCCCCCAGTCTCCTGCCTCCTAATCCATTGTCGTTGCTCAGAGATGGAGGAGATCAGCGTGGGCTACAGCAGACATGGGAAGATTCCTGGAGGAAGTAGGTATCAAAGTGCTAGGCCTTGACACAGTAGAGTCATCAGTCCAGATAATGGGTACAATGTACAGCAGTGTGCTGGAGATAATGAGGTTCTGGGCTGGCTTCAGCCATGAGCTGCTCTCCATCCCAACCCAACATCGCTGTGTCACTGAATACTTACCTGCCTCTCAGGAGCCCCTCTTCTCTGGTACCACCTTGGTAGTTGAACAGAAAGGGGCAAAGTGTATAATCTGGGATCCAGCCAACTGACCAGGAGTGATCTCTTTTCCCTTCCAGGGCGTGTGCTGGAAGCTTTTGCCCGAAAAGCCTTGTGGGATGTTGGGCTTAATTATGGCCATGGAACAGGCCATGGCATTGGCAACTTCTTGTGTGTGCATGAGTGTAAGTATCTCAGCTCCCACCCCAGAGTCCTTCCTTGTGTAACACTCCCCCTCTGAAAGAGAACATTTTGCAGGTATGGAAATTACCAAGATCCACAAAGATGCCCTGACCCACCCAAGGTCACCCAGCTGGTGGGAGGGGATGCTCCACAGAGTAAGTGAGGAATCCTGGGACCTGGCCAATCCTGCTGCCTTTTTCTTTTCCTGCTGCCTTTTGGCATACAGAAGGGCACCAGAGAAAGGACAAAGGCCTACTGGCTGACTGGGATAGACTCCAGAGAAATAAAATCTGGAGCCAGTCTGATGTGTGCCAGCTCCAAGCAGACAATAATGTGGTGAACAAGTAGTGCTAGAGATGCCCATGGGCCCCCAGTTACCTGCTCTTCCCCAGAACCTGCTTGTTTTCAAGCTGGTGAGGACAGGAGAGCTGACATTGTACCCACATCTTCCTTTCCAGGGCCAGTGGGATTCCAGACCATCAACATTGCCATGGCCAAGGGCATGTTCACTTCCATCGGTATAGCTCTTGAGCCCCTCTAGCACAGTACTCTATCCCATAGCCAGGCTAGCTGGGGACTGCAGTCTTAGGTGTGTCCACCTTCAGAGAGGATTACAGGCTCAAGGACAGACCCAGCCCTGGGCTGTATTGCTTCACCTCCTCACTTCCCAGCTCCCATCTCTACTCTTAGCCACAACTGGCTTGCCCCAAATTTACCGCAGTCTCCCTCAGCCTATACCCTTCTTTTATTCTTGGGAGTTGATTCCAAGATGTATATCCAGACTCTGGAGTTGCCAGTCAAATGCCAGGGTGATAAGACAGCTGCACACAGGGAGATGGTAACACCTGCAGAAATGTAGTGGACTCTTTCATCTTCCCTGCTGTGGTACAAGGGAGGAAGAGTTGTGCCTGGGAGGCATCTGAGGCTAGACAGTTACCTCTGCTTAGCCAGTGAGCATCTAACAAGCTATGGGGCTGCCAGAGCCAGTGGGCAGAATGCAGCTAGGCAGCCTGGCCCTCCAGCCACTTGTGGATTGGTACAGGATGCCTGGACATGGGTACCCTCTGGTTAAAGCTGCTAGCATCTCTGTGTCTCCCAGAACCTGGATACTATCACGATGGAGAATTTGGGATCCGTATTGAAGACGTGGCCCTTGTGGTGGGAGCAAAGACCAAGGTAAAGTGACACCGAGTTGGGCTGGAGGTGGACAGCGTGGCAGTCACTGTGGGTTGCATGGGGGGTGAGGGAAGCTGAAGGAAAGGGGCATTTGAATGTGCATGTGAGCATGACTTTATTTGGGGTCTTTCTTAGTGCCGTAGGAATTCCATGAATCAGCTTCTGAAACGCCAGGTTAGACTCATCTGGAAAGCTTGTTTTTCAAATGTCAGTGCCAGGCCTCACTCCAAACCAAGTGAATCCGTATCCCTGCCCTGAATCATTGGTTCTCAGTGCACATAATAATCGTCAGGGGACCTGTTAGAAATAAAGATTTGCTATTATAACAACTCACAAGATAAAATACCTAGACATAAACTTTAAAAGACTTACATGGAGAAACCCTCTGCTAAGGGACATAAAAAAGATTTAAGTAAGTGGTGTTCTCTAGAAAGAAGCCTCGATATTATGAAGATGTCATTTCTCCCTAAATTATTCTATAAATTCAAGACAACCTCAATTTCAATGTTAACCAGATACTTTTGGAACTTCACAAAATGCTAGTAAAGTTTATTTGTAAAAATAAACATTCAAAGACAGCTAGGTAGCTAACAAAAACTTCTTAAAAAGAAGACCAATATGGGAATATCAGATTTTAACATAAGCTACCATAAATAAACAGGATGACACCAGAGATGAAATAGACAGAACAGTGGAACAGAATAATTAGTCCAGAAGTAAACCCTCTAATTCCCATAAATGACATGGGGATTTAGTTTCCAATAAAGCTGATGTTTCAAAACAGAGAGTAATTAGTCAATAAATAGGCAAGGAGAACCAATGGCTAATCATTTGGGCAGTGAGTAAACTGAATAATAAAACTATTACATCAAAATAAAGTCTCGTATCAACCAAAGTTTTAAGGTCAATGAAACCATGAAACACCTAGAGGAAACCTTACAAGAATTTCTTTAATACCAGGGTGGAAAAGGGGCTTTTTTACACAAAACTCAGAAGCTACAAAGGGAAAGATTGATAACTGACTAAATTTAGTAGAAAGTGTCAATATGGAAACAGTACCATAAACAAAATAAAAATATCTATGATAAATACAGCACAAATGACCCCAAAAAGGGCAAAGTTCCTTGATTTTAACATGTGCTTTTACATAGGCAAAACAAGGTTTATGCCTGTAAACCCAGCACTTGGGAAGCTAGGACAGGAAGATCACAAGTTTGAGGCCAGGCTGGGCTACATAGTGAGTTCAAGGCTGGCCTGAACTACAGAGGGAAACCCTGTCTCAATAAATAAATAAATACATAAATAAATAAATGAAGAAATAAGTGATTTAAAAAATAGGCAAGGCAGAAAATGGGCAAAGGCCATAAAGAGGCAATTCATTAAAACCAACACAAATGGTGCCCACAAAAGATGCTCAACTTCATTTTTGAAGGAGTACAAATCAAGATACCAATAGAATACTATATTTTACTATCAGATTGGCAAAACTTAAAAACTTTGATACCCAGTGCTGGCAAGTATGTAATGAAATGGACATTCTCATACATTGTTGGAAAAAGTATAAATTCGTACAAACTTTCTTGGGGAAGTTTAACAAAATTGATCAAAATATTAAATCCCTGTGCCTTCTGTCTCTGCAATCCCACCACAAGGTATGTATCTTCTGGATACAGTCCCAAAAGTTCACACATGTTTACATATGAGTATCGCATGTTTACACAGTGATATTGATTTGTAGCATTGAAGGTAATAGTAAAAAATTTGAAACAGCATAAAAATCCATAACTGGTCACAGAAATCATGGTACATCCCCATGTCATGGACTCTTACGCAGCTGTTTAAAAGAAGGAAGTAGGGCTAGGGGTCTAGATTAGCAGTAGAGCACTTGCCTAGCATGCACAAAACTCTGGGTTTGATGCCCACACCAAAATGATGATGATGATGATGATCTTCTGTGCTAACTAACATGGAGCACTCTCCTGGATTTACTATTAAGAAAGGGAAGGAGAAAGGTACAGAGAAATGTGTGTGGTAAGATCCATTTTGTGTGAATTTAAAAAATATATACAGGCTGGGGATTTAGCTCAGCGGTTCTGCCGCCTGCCTCACAAGCGTAAGGACCCGAGTTCGATCCCCGGTACCAAAAAAAAAATTAAAAAATAAAAAATATGTACATATACAGATACATATGCCTAAAATATTTTCAAGAAAGAAACTGGGCAGTGAGGACTTTCCATTTTCAGTGTATATCTTTGTGTAGTTTGAATTTCCTAAGCACATACATGCAGGGCTCTCTGGGAGATGAAAGTTATGGGATTTTTTCCCTTCATTTTACTTGTCTATATGAACAGAAGAATCAATAAATAGATGCATAGCTCCAGCTACTTAGGAGGCTGAGGCAGGAGGATTGCAAATTCAAGTCCAACCTGGGCAACTTAGCAACTTAGATCCTATCTCAAAATAAAAAGTGGGCTGGGATATAGCTGAGTGCTAAGGACCAGAGCTCAGTCCCCAGTACCATAAATAAAATAAAATAAACCTGGCATGGTAGCACACATCTGTGATCCCAGCACTCAGGAGGCTGAGGCAAGAGGATTGCTGCAAGTTCAAGGCCAGCCTGGGCTACATCGTGAGTTCAAGGCCAGCCTGAACTACATAGCAAGACCTTCTCTCAAAAATAAATAAATAAAATAATAAAAAGGGGCTTGGGATGTACTCAGTATTCAGTGTGAAAGCCCTGGGTTCAGTCCCCAGGACTGCAAAAAAAGAACAACAACAACAAAAAAAGGACCCAAGTTTGATCCCTGGTATAAAAAAAAAGTCTACTAATTTCCTTTTATGTTATTTAAATGTGTGTTCCCAGCCCTCCCCCAGAGATTCTGCTTCCAGTAAGTCTGGGAGGTGGGCCCTGGACTCTACATACCTAATGAGACCCCAAGTGCTATTGATGCACACACTATGAGAAGCATAGACCCAAGTCATAATGACAGGCACAGGAGGGGAGCTCCAAGCTCCAAGATAGACAAGAGGATTGGCCAAGGGAAGGGACTCTGGAAGGCTCAGGCCTAGGTGGCTTGTCCAGGATGGACAAGTTCCCTATTGCCATGGATTCTGGGCAAAGTGTTCCCTTGCTCCCTTTCATTGAGCTCCTCTTCCTCCCCCTTTCTCACTTTCCCTGTGGGCTCTCAGTACCCAGGATCCTACTTGACCTTTGAAGTGGTGTCCTTCGTGCCCTATGACCGCAACCTCATTGATGTCAGCCTGCTGTCCCCTGAGCAGGTAAGTGCTCCTCGGCACTGCCTGCCCTTGAGCCTTCTCCTCCACCTAGGCCTGTCCTGCCTGTACTGCCCCTACTCCAAGACTCTCTGCCCTTGCTGTTCCCAGGAGGGTCTACACTCGTGGCACTGTAGGCACACACTGGGTTATACCTCTCCAGATCACTAGAGGCCCCAAAACTTTCAGAAATGTCCAGGCAGACCAGCCTGCCTGGACTGAGGTAATGAATCCTAGGGCAGTCTGAGACAGGGCCCATGAGCTCTGCCACTATAAGGCTTAGAACTAAACAATACCTTCTTTCTCCTCTGTGGGCCTCAGTCTCCACTTTTGTAAAATGGGCCTGCCTACCCTGTTTACTCTCATTCATGAGCCTGAAATCTACCCACCCTGCCATCCCTGGCCATCACCACAACTTTAAGCAGCCACTCTGCAGAATTGCTCTGGAAAACCCAGAGAATACCTGAGGCCTGATACTGGCTGGGACCCTGGGACCAAGGTGAGCAGCTAGCTGGAATACCTCACAGGAGAGACTGACACCAACCTCTCACCTCCTAACACTCAGCTCAAACCTTCTTCACTTTGCAGCTCCAGCACCTGAATCAATACTACCAGGTCATCCGAGAGAAGGTGGGCCCAGAGCTGCATCGACGCCAGTTGCTGGAAGAGTTCGAGTGGCTACAGCGGCACACAGAGCCCCTGTCTGCCAGGGCTCCACACACAGCCTCTTGGGCCTCTGTGCTGGTGGCCTCTACTCTTGCCATACTCAGCTGGAGTAGCTAAAGGCTCCTGATTCCCTGCTAACCCTTCACCTGGATGTAAGACTCACTCAGCTCCCCTCTGCCTGAACCACGCATGCCCCAAGAACCCCTACCCACCCGTCACTGGAAACCATTGCCCTCAGCTTCCTCCAGACCAGGCCCCAGGCAGCACATCTCCCCCACAGGATCTGTATGCCTCCCCCTGGACTCCCAACCCCAGCCCTGGGATAGTGGAGCCAACCGGTGCCTTCCTCTAGTGGGCACAGCTTGTTATACAGCTGCTGTCCCTTCCCACAAATGAAAGACCAAAAGGGCAAAACCCCTAACCCCAGGGGCTCCCTGGCCCAGGGAGAGCCCTCCCCTATCACCAACTGCTGGAGAGCTCCAGATCTCTTCCACTCTGTAGGCTGCCTCTGGCCACCCCCACCTGCCCCTAGTCCTACCGTGGCCTCCAGGCTACAGCCCCTGAGGCTGAAAAGACAAGGCTCCCTCCAAGTTGCCCGTTGTACCTGTAGAGGAAGGGGAAGCAAGGGTGGCTGCATCCTCTAGTTGTAGACTGCCAGCCTAGGACTGGAGAGAACAGACCAGTCAGAGGCAGAGTGGGCCTGCAGCCAGAGACCAGCCAGGAGCTCACACCCATGTGAGAGCCCATCGCTCCTAAACCCTGAGTGCACTCCACTCCAAGGGACAGCATAGGGCACTTAGGTGCAGTAACCTGGCTATGGGTAGAAGGGAATGTGGCCCTACCAGAGATTGAGGAACAGCCTAAGCCAGTGCACAGGGAGCCCCTCCAACTTTTGAAATTGCAGCCACAGACAATGCTATTAAATCTTCCCATGTGCTTGGATGGCCCTTGACCCTGTGTGGGCCGTCTGCTTTCCCCATTTTTCAGACAGGGAAACTGAGCTTCAGACAGGAGGGGAGCCCTGCCCCAGGCCACACAGCATGAGATTGAGAGGTGGCAGGGCCAGATGGGCGAGCAGCCTAGCTCCCTTGCCCTCCAGCAGCATGTAGAACCTCTTAACCTGCCCGCAGCCCTCTCCTCATTCTCTGAGCCAACTGTTGGGGTGAGAAGAGTTTTCTCTAGCCTCGGTCAGGCCAGCCAGAGTGCCTGCCTGCCGTTAGCCACCTGGGCTCACATCCTGCTAGATGCTTAAAACAATCTTGCAAAGTTGCCTGCCTCTGGTTTTGCATTGTGTCGGCCCTGTTGCTGGAGTCTGTTGTTACCTGTGGCTTTTGTGGTGGGGGAGGAAGAGAGGCTATAGTGGGGGCGGGGATGTGAGGCTCCTGGCAGCTCAGTGGGGGAGCACATGGGCTTGAGAATGTGCCTGTGAGCATGCGCATGAGTGTGTGTGCCTGCACCTGTGCACGTGTGCATGTACCCCACTCCTTACTGGCGCCTCCAGCCTGTGCTCAAGATGGTGTAACCTTGTGGAGGGCACAGGGGGAATCCCCATGCTGGGGAACTTGTCAAACATAGTCCATGGTCAGGAAAAGTTGGAGCCAGATTCTTTGGCCCAACAGAATATAGCAGGAGTGGGGAGAACAAGGCTGTGGGTAAAAGGTGCTGGGCAAAGGCATCAAGCTGAGAAGTCTCTCGGCCTGGGACTGAAAGGCCCAGTTTGCTGAGTGTGGGGATGACCTGTGACAGTTACCAACACCAAAGCATGCACCCCTGAGGCCCAGCCCTGACCCACCCTCACTGAGGGCCGGCAGCACCCAGCAGCAGGCCTTTGGTTTGCTAAGCCATTTGTTCTCTCACCTTTCACCTCACAGACAGCTACTACCAATAAAATTAAAGTTCTTGTGGTCGTCATGATCGTCATCATTGCTACCATTACCCTTTGGTATACACCACTATGAGGAAAGCTTACACGCATTTTCCCATTTTATCCTCACTACCTATGAGAAAATACTTGTATTTTTCCTGTTTTACAAGTGAGGGAACTGAGCGAGACCCCTGGAGATTAACTAACTTGCTCAAAGTGACTGTTTTTATCAAGTAAATGAAAAAAAACAGGATTCAAACCAGTCATATGGCTCCAGAACCCATTCTCTCCAAAAAAGGCCAAGTGGTGGGCTCTCCCCATTTTTCCAGATGAGAAAACTGAGGCCTGACCAGGACCACACCACTGGAGAGCAGTAGAGTCTACACGGTACTGCTTCCCCTGACTGTCCCTGACACTTGCTCCTCCCATCTCCTCCTCCCTACTCAGCCACCCCTCCAGCCTTCCACCTTGGGATTGAGAACCACAACCCTGGAAGCGTGGCTGCTGGAGAGGCTGCAGCCAATGCAGCTCCGCCCTTCATGGGGTCCAGAGAGCAGCGCTGACCATGCCTGCTTTAGGGATTTCACTCTGAGTCAGGCAGGGCACACATAGCAGAACTGAAATATGTGGTGGCTCGTGTGACATCACTAGGAATTGGATATGTCTCCCCGCCCCTTGATTTCTGGTCCTTTGTTTTTATACTAGAGGATGAAGCTTACCAAACCTCTCCTCACTTGCTCATTGCAGCCATGGAGCAGGCCATATGGAAAAGCCCCTTTTCCCAAGTGTTAGCATTCTGGGGTTGTGGTCCCAGTTGTACTAGCTGTGTGGCCTTGGTGAGTCACTTCCCTTCTCTGGTCTTCAGTTATCCCTTCTCTAAATTACCCATACTGCCTTCCTGATGAGGTTATGGAGAGCAGCCCACAAGACCCGGATGTGGTAGCATTCTCTAAACCAGGAAACGACACAGACAAGAGATGATAATGTGGTTATTCGCACATCACAAGTTCAACTCTTGCTTCACCTTTGGAGGTAGATAAGGAAAGGTTCAGGACCCCACTTTTACATATAAATAGCCAAAATTAAAAATGTTTTGGAGCAAGCATCCAATTTGTAGGGTTTTTCCCCCAACTGTGCTGCCTGGAGCCTGAGATTTCTCTGAAGTACCCCAAGGGCTGTAACAAAAAGTAGTTCTCCAGCAAAAAGTAGCCCTTATGGGCTTCCCCAAAGATTGTACCTGAAGTAGTCAGCCAGTTTCCAGGGTATATGACCTGTGCAGTCACTGAGGGACTTCTGCTGGGGGTGTGTGCTATCCCGTGTCTTGTAATTCTTAATAGTTTTAAAAAGGACCCCACATTTTCATTTTGTGCCAAGCTTCATGAATAGCATATCTCATCCTGAATAGGAGCTACATGACCAAGCAAACATCTAGTTCAATCCCTTCAATGTACAGATTGGAAAACTACAGCAGTCCAGAAAGAGGAAGGGACTTGCTCAAGGTCACAAAGCCCTTTGGAGCCACAGCAAGGATCCTAATATGGCTCTGTCCTAGCCCCCCTGTCACTTTTAGTGTGCATCTCTGTCATTCCTATATTGTCGCTAATGAGTAGACTGAGGCCCCGGGGAGACCTGTTCGAGAGTACATATCTCTGACAACAACAGTAACAGTGGTATTGTGCTCCATTTCTTGATGTTTCAAATCCTTTCTGGAATAGGAAAGAGAATGGGTAAGACAGTTACTTGCACATATACACAGGTAGTTTAAATAGTTCATTTTAAAAATGATAGGTAAGGGCCGGAAATTTAGCTCAGTGGTTTCACCGCCTGCTGCATAAGCGCAAGGACCCGAGTTCGATCCCCGGTACCAAAAAAAAAAAAAAAAAGATAGGTAAATCAGTCCTTGTTCATTTGCCAGGCAGCTGGCTCCAGCTGTTCAAGAGCTGGGGCTTCAGAAGGGGGCTGGGCTGGCTACTCTTCACCTAGCTAACCCTCGTCAACAGTGCACTTTACCGACTCACTGGGCACTTCCTCAAATCAGTAGTTGGGCACTCTTGGTGCTAGAAAAATAGAAATATGAAAGATGCAGTAATAACTATTTCCCTCCCCATAAGGCTTGTCACAGCTGGGAGTGGGAGGTGCTCCCCAACCCTGACCCAGCCAGTCCTGGCTATGAGGTCAGCCCATTTATTCACTTCCTTGTTTCTTTGTGAAACAGGAACTTAGCAAGCAGCTCAAGTCGGGTAGGATGGGCCGTTGAGAAAGCCCCAGTGAGCCATGGCAAGGCCATGGAGCTGAAATGCTGGTTTCCCTCCTAGCAGGTCCCAAGCAGCTTTAGGCCTGCCTGCTTGTCACACCTCCTGTGTTCTAGAGTACTTTGGACTGAGGGACCTTGCTCTTGACAAGGTGGAGACACACTGGATATGGGCCATAGGATTATGTAGCAAAGATTCAGATGGGGCCCAGAAGACTCATAGAAGCATGTGCCAAGGGGATGCCTCTGAGAGAAGGTGGCAGCTCCCAGTGGTCACCAAGGGCTTCCTGGCATTGCCAAGAGGAGAAACTCTGGGTGGGAGCCTGGATTCCATGTGAAGTCACCCACCAGGTAACCAGCATTTTCTGTGAGCTGGACCCTGGGCTGAGAGTACTCCCTCTACGACGTGTGTCATCTGATTAATGACCTCTCTCTCTCTCTCTCTCTCTCTCTCTCTGACACACACACACACACACACACACACACGCACACACACGCACACACACGACCCACATTATCACTGATACTGCCTTCACAAAGGCTCAACACAGGTGATGTCACTTGCCTGAGGCCATGCAGCCCACAGAGATCATGGGACACTCTGGATCCACTTCTACTATCTCCATTTCTGAGAGGTGCTCTTCTGTTCTTCTCTCTTCCCTAGGGCCCTAGACAACTGTCCCCATGGGGCCAGGGGCCTACTGCCATGACACCATTGTTCTGGTAACCTTGGGACAGAGTCCTAGGCAGAGCAACCTAAACTAGCCTACTCTCACCTAGAAAGGCCCTCCAGTGAGTCATGAGCATATTTTGATCTGAGCACCCAAGTCCAGCCTCCTCTTCTGAGGGTAATTGCCACAGCTGCCTGCAGGTGTTTTTTGTTTTTAAACCATGAGTTCAGAGCTCTAGAGATTACTGTCTTTCCCTCCAGGGGGCTCCCCATGTTCCCCATCTGAAAGCTCTATGTATGGTGTGCATGTGGCATAGACAAAAGAGCCCCCTGACCTTTGGCTCATTGACCTTCTCTGCCCACCTTCGCCTTCCTGCAATTTTGCCCTTTCCACCCTCCCTGCCTAAGATGACCACCATGGAATTTGTGAATTGGCTGGGCTGCTAAGGTGAGCTTCACCTTATAAGTATCTGAGTATTTTCAAGGGATTGTGTGGTCTCAGATATTTCTGGAAACAGAATAATCACTACTTACCATAGTTGAACTAGTACCATCTGAATACCCAAAACTTCTTCCTTGGAGTGAACCCAAACTTTTCATGTATCTGTTCCTCACTGTTCCTAGCCACATAAACACATCCCCCTCCACTACGTGACAGCTGTTGCAATTCAACTTGCTTCAAATTCCCCTACCCAGCTCTCTAGGCTAAATATGACAGGTGTTTAGTACTCCACATGTTGACAAGGGCCTCCCTCTACATCAGCCCCACTTAAACAGCCCTAACTCCTGCAGCTGCTGTGCACCTGATGTGACTTCCAAATGCCATCCTCATCCTGTTCACTCTCATTTGGGCCTTATTCAAGGTGGGCCCTGTGGTGCCTAGTGTGGCACTCAACACAGCATAGAACACCAAGAAAAAAGCTGTGAGCAGAGGGCCCCTAATTCTCTCACATCCTTGTTCAGGAACTCTGCATCAGAGGCACTTTAGCCTCATGGTTAATAGCATTGGTCCTAGACCAAGACCTGACTTGCATTTAAAATTAGCTCCTGCCACTTACTAGCTCTTGATTTAAATCTAAAATGTCCCCCAAAAGTCTCACGTGTTCAGAGGCAGGGCTTTCAGAAGGTGATTAGATCTTGAGGGCTCTAACCTCATCAGTGTACTAATCCATTGATGAGATCATAATTTTTATTAATTATTTTTATTAGTGCAGGTGTTATGCCCTGTGTCTAGATGCCCCCCCAAAGCCTCATATGGTCACAGGTGGGGCTTTTCAGAGGTAGCTGGATCTAGAGTGTGTGATGCTGGGATTAAGTGTGTGATGCTGGCATAAAGGATGTGTGATTAACTAATTAGTCCACTGATTGGTTTGGCATAGTTCTGGGTGTGGATAATGAGAAGGCCCAATCTGGGTGTGAGTGCTACTTGTCCTAAGGTCGTGTGGCCTGGATAGAATACAAGGGACAAAAAGAGGGCTGCTGTGATGGTTTTGCTGCTTCCTTGCTACTTCACTGCTTTGCCGTCTTCTGCCCATCATGAACTCTTTCTCTTCTGCGATGCCCCTCTACCATGACACCCTGCCTTGGAGATTATGGTCTGAAACCTCTACAAACTGTGAGCTACAATAAACCTTTCCTCCTTTGGGCGTTGGGTATTCTGTCTCAGCAATGAGAAAAAGTAACAAAAACAACAAGTTCATGGTACATAATGTTTATATTCCTTGTGTGGAGTTGGTACATGTACATAACACATCCTAATACCTTTTCTCATCCCCTTTTCCTCCTCTCTCTCCCCACTCCCTCCATCTACTTATCCCCTTCCCATTTGCAAAAGATCTGTCTACTTCCTATTATCTTTTAGTTTGCTCTTTATTTATAATTTGAGTTCTCATATAAAATAAACCATATGATATTTAAGCTTGTGTATCTGATTTATTTCACTTAACATTATGGTCTCAAAGTATATCCATTTTCCTACAAATGACTCAAATTTATCCTTCTTTACGGCATAGTACTAGACTGTGTGTATATACCACGTTTTTTAATTTATTCATCTGTCGATGGACATATAGGCCCCTTCCAAGATTTAACTATTATGAATTGTGCTGCTATAAACATGGCTATGTGTGTATCACTGTCATATGATGTCTTTAATTCTTTCAGGAAGATACCTAGAAGGAGAATACGGTAGTTGAGTCAAATGGAATTTCTAGTTTTAGTTTTTCGAGGAATCTCCATACTGATTTCCATAGTAGTTGTTATCAGTTTACATTCTCACCAACAGTATAAAAGGGTTCCTTTTCCTCTGCAGCCTTGCCAGCACTTGTTATTATTTGATTTCTTGGTGTCCATTCCTTCTGGGCTAAGATGGAATCTCAGTATTGTTTTAATTTGCATTTCTCTAATGGCCAGCAATGTTGAGCATTTCTTCATGTATTTATTGGCCATCTGTACTTCTTCTGTGATGGCACAATTGGGGGGTGATGAAAATAGGAGGTGGGGCAGGACATGGGGTATGACCTTGGGGGCTATACCTTGTCCTTGGCCCCTTCCTCTGTCCTTGGCCCTTTCTTTCTCTACTTCCTGGCTGCTGGCAGTTAAACATCTTTTCTCTGTTTCACCTGCCACTATGATGGTTCTTCCTCACCTCAGGCCCACAGCAATGGAGCGGGTCAACCATGGAATGAAATTTCTGAAACTGAGTCAAAATGAACTTTTCCTCTTTTAAGTTAATTTATGTCAAGTATTTTGTCACTGCAACAGAAAGCTGACTAACACAGTAGCTGTGCAGTCTTTGGCAATTTGCTTAACCCCTGTGTACCTTGGCTTCCTTCCTGGAAAATGGGGATAACAACAGCAAATGACTTAGCGAATTGTTACAAAGCACACCGCCTGCCTCGCTGTATTTTCAGCTGGAATGGGGCTGGGAGAAGGGGGAAGTAAGAATCTTTTAGGAAGTTTTCCCAAATATAGGTATCCCTCAGTATCCAAACTGTTACTATCTTGAGGCAAGGACGTGTCTATTCAGGGAGTGAGGGAGGGATGCTTTCAGATGTGTCTGGATCGCACCTGCCCCAAATATCCCACAACCACCTACCAAATCCCTTGGTGGCATGCTGATGGGAACCTGCTACCATGACCTTGGTGGCTTTCCCTGCATCCACCCTCCCAGGGTTTAGACTCATCTTGTTATCAGTGGGACACAAGCAAGCACGCACACACGCATGCACACATCCACACACACACACACACACACACACACACACACATACATCCACACATCCTGCCACATCGCTGCTAACTCAAGGTTCTCCTGCCTGGCATCTATGCCTCTAGGAACATCTTTACCATACTTATCCCAGTTTCAGCTATCTACTTCAGAAGGTTGTGGCAGGATTAAAGGACATTTGTGAAGTATCTAATGTAGTGTTTGGCAAAGAACAAGCATTAGGCAAATGTCAGCTCCCACATACAATAGATTTTGAGTTATTTATTTTGCGCTCCTTCAAAGTGCCTAGCACAAGGCTATGCCCACAGCAAGCTCCTAGGTCCTGCCTGCCACCACATTATTAAGTTTAAGATGGGGCCGGGGATTTGCCACCTGCCTTGAAAGCGCAAGGTCCCAAGTTTGATCCCCGGTACCAAAACAAAAAAAAGTTTAAGGTGGCCCTGTTAACTGAACTACTGACCCAAATCACTTCCCTAGCCTCTAGAAGAAGGCTCTGTGTACCAGGAATGGAATCTATAAAATGCAAACGCAGTGCTCAGAAAGGGGATGGGTATTAAATAAGGGTTAAGGGTCCATTAGCGTATGCTAGGGTTTGACCGGGTAGGACTCCAGCCAGGGCCATCTGTTGGAAGAAAAAGACAGAGAAGCCAAGACCGCACGGGGGGACATCCTGGATCCCAAAGCTCTAGCTTCGGAACAGAGGATGAAGATCTGGAAAGGAGAAAGAGGGATGGGCCTGAAAACACTGTCTCAGGACCCGTCACATCTCTGTATTTCTCTCCCAGGTGCCCTCAACCACCCCCTCGCTGCCTTTTCCCAGGCCTCAGTGGCCCAGCGCCCTGGTTTGCTAGCAGCGGCCTGTGAAGTCTCTGCGGTTACGGTGTGAGCTCAGCTCGCTGCCTGGGCGGAGCAAACAGGAAGCGGGCACATCCTGCCAGCCTGTTTGGAGACAGGCTGCCTCTGCGCAGGCCCAGAAGCTTCTGAGAACTGCTCCCTCCCTCTCGGCTTAGGGCCGCGGGAGCGCCTGATGCCCAGAGCATCTGTAACCTCTTACCTCCCAATCCCTGACGGCCCGCCCTCTCTCACCTGATCACCCGGGTCTCTAAGGGCCCCGTGAGTTGGTGCCCTACAAGACTGCCAGGCTCCTCCAATTGCCTGCCATAAAGCCTTAGGCAGTTACCTAGCTCTTGTCTCAGGGCAGCCTAAAGGGGACTTTTGGGGATGGAAAACGCAAGCCAGAGGGGAAAAGATCTGTGGTGTACTGTTTCCTGAGTCTTTGTGGCCGATGAGTAGGCCAGAGCCAAAGGAAATACGGTTTCAGCTTAGGGGGGAAGGACCTGTCTTCCCTGCGCTTGCCCAACCCATGGAAGGTCCAAACTTGGGGCAAAGTTGAGGGAGGAAGTCACAAGCACATCTTGGGAACATGGGCGGGCCCTTCAGGATTTCGCAAGTGCCACATTCAAAAGCTTTTTAAAAGGTGCATCTTTTATGTATGATGTCCTAAGAGGTTAGGGATCAAAGACGATCTGTCGTTTGGAGGCAGGTCTTGAACCAGGTAGGAAATGTCCCTATAGTAGATTAATTGAAGGTGAATACTTGGCTTCATGTTACTCCATGAATTTATTTCCCTTTTGTTACCTTCTAAGTTTGAATAAAGTCTTTGAATGTTAAAAGAAAGTGTTATCTTTTACCCTAGCAATTCCCCTTTCACATATTTATGCTAAGAACAAACTTGTGGATGGGAATGAATATTACATAAAGGACCCTCAATGAGTACTTAAAAAAAGTTAAACAGGCCAAAGTTCATCAGTGGGAGCCTGGTGAAATAATCACACAATGGGATGTTCAGCAGCCATTACAACACACACAGTTGAAGAATATTTAATAGCATGGGAAAATCTTAATGAGTTCCATGTGGAAAATCAATTTTGTCAACACACTTTGTGAAGTATGACTTTTTTCATTTTTAAAGAGTTAGAAGCAGCTCTATTGAAGTATATAATTGACCTTCAATAAACAACACATTTTAAAGTGTACAATTTGGTAAGTTTTACCACACATATACATCCATGAAGGCATCACCGCAATCAAGATTGTTAATATATTTCTTCTTTTTTTTTTTTTTGGTACTGGGGATCGAACTCAGGACCTTGTGCTTTTGAGGCAGGCAGCAGCTTCACTGAGCTAAATCCCCAGCCCTAGATTGATAACATATTAATCACCTCAAAAGATTCCATGTGCCCTTGGTAATACCTCCTCCATCTCCCCAAAACTATGATCTGCTTTCAGTATAGTCAAGATTCATTTTAGTAAAGAAGAAGAGGTGTATTGGCAAGTAGATAGATGCTTAAAACAGAAAAGGATATGTTGTAAGCAGTATGGAAGACAATCATGGAGAAATTTTGAGTTTTTTGTGTTAATCTGTGTTTGGTAAATTGTCTGTGATAAATGCCAATTGCTATTGTATTAAGAATTAGTCATTGGGGTTATTAAAATATCTGCCACAGATAATTCAGAAAGTGAGCATAGTGCATGGGCATTCAACAAATGTGTTGAGGGAGACACTTGCTGAGGGTGACGGCTTTACCATGATGGCTATCAATAAGAGTGATGGTAGCAGAGGCAATAGCCATAGAAGTGGCGACTGTAGGATGACAGTAGTGGTCGTGATGGCAGTGATGTCTCTGGAGATACAAGTTGACCAGGAGCATTGCCCCAACCAGCAGAGAGATAGTCTCCGTTCTGGTTTCTGGGTTCTCGGTCAGTGAGTATAGGGCCTGAGTGGGCCACGTAACGTCAAGTTGATTGCCACCTCCGAGGAGATGGAGCAGAAGGACTGGTGATGATGGACCTGAGATAAAAGGATAGGGACTTTTCTCTGCTTGTTCAACCCAAGAGGTGCCTGCCTCCGAATCTCTGGAGACTGAAGCTGGGACTTCCTTCCTCCCTAGGGGCCGCCAGGGGCTGCGATTGCTGTAAGAGCAGGTCACGTGCCAGGGCTTCCTGTATGCTGTTGCTGCTGGGTGTCCATGACCCACAACCTCAAGTTGCCACTGCAGCAGTCAGAGTGGCAGCCAGAGGATTGGTCCATGCTGTGCCCTCTGGACGGTGCTGGTGAGGCTGAGCAAGAGGCCTCCACATCTCGACACCTGGGAGAGGGGGGAAGGAGTCTCACCAGGGTAGAGGATCATGTTGCGCCGCAAGCCCTCCAATGCCAGTGAGAAGGAGCCCACTCAGAAGAAAAAGGTGAGGAGCATCTTTGGGAAACTCACGTTTTCTTTCCCTCCTTTGGGAACTCACTCCTTCCTTCCCTCTTCTGCTCTCTCCACCCATTCCCTCTAGGACTCTCAGTGAGAAGAGCCGAAGGCCATATGTTGAGCCTGTAGGTGAGGTCTATTCTCCCAGAGGGCAACAAGACATGACCCAAATGTTACTAGTGTAACAAAGGAAAAAAGAAAAATTTAAAACTCTAAATAACAGAGTTTATGGGATAGACTTTTAGCAGTCTGGAGTTATAGAATTCAAGCCTGCCATGATGTGATAAAGAATGAAAATTGGGGGCCAGAATCCTAAACTAGACTTCAGGAATTACAAAATACTACACTCAACTTGGAAACTTAAGATTTAATTCTCTCTTTCCTCCACTGTTCCTGCCACCACTTCGGCCCAAGTGTGGCCTCTCAGAAGCCTTCTCACTCAAAGATCCTCACTGGGCCACCCAGCCAAGATGCTTCCAGGGCCTCCGCCCTTTGGCCAGGACCCAGACCTTGCCCACTGGGCTCAGCTCAGTTGTAGCCTCCCAGGCCACTGTCGATAAGGCCTGAGGTGACTTCCAGACTCAGGAAAAGCCCCTCCCACAACTGCGGTAAGATGCAGGGGGGCTGTACAGCTTCTTCCCAGGTGGGGAGAAAATGTTTGTGAGAAATAAAAAATGAAGCTGGGGAGATGGTGAGTAGGAGTGGGAGCTGAGGCGGAATAATTCAATGGGAGAATTTCAAAAGCCAGGAAGGGAAGCACCTGAGGTGTTCATCCTCCTGAGGCACAGGCCAAGATCCCTTGAAGGCCTTTGACAGATCTAGGTTTCTCTGGTTGGATCTGTGAATTTGATTGGATCATGAGATTCTCCCAGTCAACCAGCAAGCACACTTTGCACATCCAGTGAGACCATAGGACCATTCCAAAGCAGGAGGCCTGAACCAGGTCCAAAAAGACCTGGACCCAGGCCCATGTCTGGAGCCTCCAGGCCCTCACCGTGCGCTGCCAGTTTTCCCTGGAGCTCAGCCCAGGGGTACTATGGGAGAGCCATCTTGTCGGGGGAATAACTCCCAGGCAGAGACTGAGACAGCCGAGAGACTGAACCCCAAGGGCACTGGGGTGTGCATCCGGCCCCATTTCTTGGGTCGTGGATGGCTGCCACTTCCGGCTGTACTCTTCCTCCACCCAGCTGCCTCTCTAAGGTTGCAGTGGTAGTGGACCGGGGAAGGAGGAGATTCATGAATCTTCACACAGGGCCTGTCATCCTCGTCCAAACCTTGCACAGTACTAGGCCCAGCAGACCTGCCATTGGCTGCCACTCCTTGGTGAGTAGAGCCACTTCCTCTTGCTCTCCGGCTCATAGGGGTGGGAAACAGAGACTGCTTTACAGACACTGCTAGGCCCCAAACCACAGGGGAGCTGAGCTGGAGGAAATAGTCTGAGAAAGAGCTGACACTTTGATACTGAGATACTGTACCACCTCAGATGAAGGTGCTCAGAGCCACACAAAAACCAGAAGTCCCCTTCTTTTTCCTCAGTTTCAGTTACCCAGACTCTGTGTTTGGCAGGTGAGCCTCTAGAATCTTGTCCAGGCCTCTTCCAGGAGAGACAAGGCCCATGTGGCACTGTATAGTTCATACCCTTCAAAGAAGGGTAGTCCAGGCAAACCCCACTGTAGTCTTGCCAGAGCCTGTGCCAGCCTCCTGGGCCAAGATGAGCTTGCTTACATACCCTAAGCCCCATCCTGTGAAAATCCCATTGGAGAAGCCAAGCTTCCAGAAGGGAAAGGCAGCATCTTTCCCAGACCTGGAGGCAATCACCCAGCGCCATCATTGTTCGGACAGTTGTCATGGACAACTGAGGAGATATGAAGGCAAGTAAGACAAAAGGGCAAGGGAGGCCTGCTTCTCTCTCTCTCTCTCTCTCTCTCTCTCTCTCTCTCTCTCTCTCTCTCTCTCTCTCTCTCTCTCCTGCTCTTGCTTCTCCTGTGAGGTCTGCCAGATGGAGAATGTGCCAGGCAGAGGGCAAGAAACTGGAGTTGAAATTGTGCTGCAATCCAGCTGTAGGACCTTGGACAGCATTGACTTCCTTTGGGCCTCAGTTTTCTCACCTCTGAAAAGGGAGATAACTTCTAATCTGTCACCTTGGAATATTGTACAGATCATCTGGAACAATGGTTATGAGAGTACTCTGTCACACATGTTCACGAGGGGGTGCATGCTTAGGCAGGGAAAAAAGTTGCACATTGCAAAGAAAAACAGGTCCTGGCCCTAGCCCTGAAGTGGAGGAAACAAGATTTAATAGCACAAAGGTCGCCACTGAGGGAGAGCTCATCAGGTGCCAAGCACTGTGCTGTGCACTATACCCATCGTCTCTTAGCTCACTAATTCCTCATGACAACCTTGTGAGGTGAGAGCAAATATTGTCACTAGCCCTGTTTTATACTCAAGACTGACAGAGATGAAGACACTTGCCAAAGGTCATACAGCTAGACCCCTTCTCTCTCCACTCAATTGTCCCCGTAAATGATCTCAAAAACACAGAAGAGTCTGATGAGAATAAATGACTCAGCCCACCAGCAGGAGAGCTCTGCAGGGCAGACCCAGATAGCTGTGGCCTTCCAGCCAGCAGAGCAGAGGAGGGAATAGGGTCCTCCAGGATAGTAGAAGCAGGACACAGCACCAACTGTGGATCATGAAGGACTGGGGAGGCCCTGGGTTCTGAGGGCATGTCCCTTAGCTGATCTTAGGTGACTTTCACTCCCTTCAGATTATCTGCACTGGTATTGATCTGATTCTATTCAAAGGCCAGTGCTGGGGTGTAGGAAGTGAAAAGGGGATTGTCCTGGATTTGCTTCCCCTAAGGATAGTCCTTCTCCACCACACCATGACTTTCCACACTCCTCCAATCTCCCACCAGGGAAAATGGAGAGGAATGTAGGCTTCAGTTAGAGTGCTTGGTTGCTCCCTCCTTCCAATCTCTTCCTGCCCCTACCCTCTGCCCAATCCCAGCTCACAACTCCTCCTGGAGCTCCCTTGCTACACCACCTCTAACCTACCTTCACCAGAATGCACTTCATATCTTCAATACAGGCTGCACATCTTTAATCTGACAATCCAAATTCTGAAATGCTCCCAAATGTGAAACTTTATGAATGGTGACTGATGCCACAAGTAGAAAATCCCACACCTGACCTCATGTGATATGACAGTCAAAATGCAGATGCACTAAAAGTGTTGTATAAAGTTACCTTCAGACTGAGTGTATAAGGCGTATATGAGGCAGAAGTGAATTTTGTTTAGACTTGGCTCCCATCCCCAGTATATCTCATTATGTATATGCAAGTATTCCAAAATTCCAAAAACTCAAAATCTGAAACATTTTTGGTCTCAAGTGTTTTGGATAAAGGATGTTCAACCTACAGGACGTTGTTCCTGGCTTCCCACAAAATAACGCCCAAGCTCCTTGGCATGACTGGCAAGGGCCTTCCTTGGCTTGGTCTGCTCCACCTCCCACCACAGCCACCAGCACACCCACTGTTTCATCTCCTCACTTGTAACATTCCTGCCTTTGACTTGCTCAAACTCTTCCCAGCCCCACCTGGAGAAAATATGCCTCCCTACTGGCCCAGCTCAGATGCACCTCTTCCACAAAGCCATCTCTCTTGGTGGCTCCATTCAGACACCACTTGCATTATTGTTGCGCTCGATCCACTTCTGTCTTAGGTGGGGGCAACTGCATGAGCCCTGAGGTGGCACAAGCATAACAACATGCACAGACTTCTAGAGTCAGAGAGCCATGGTTGAGCACCTGCTCTTCTCTTCCCACTGCCAGCTGCAGGACTCTGCCCAGACCACTTCATTTCTCCTCATCTCAGGTTCTTCCTCTCTGTGAGATGTGGATATGACATGAAGCAGGTAAAGCGCAAACAAGCTGGCACATATGAAGTGCTTGGCAGGGGGCAAGCACATGGGTGCTGTTTAACCTTTCATCACAGGATCCCCGTACACATACACACACACACACACACACACACACACACACACACACACACACACACACACACCAGGGCCTGAGCAGCAAAGGTGCTCAGTGTGTGGTGGGTGCACTTAAAGGAGCCCAAAGAGTGGTGCAGAAGAAACCTGGGAAAGCCAAAGCTGCTCGGGAAACAGGGAGGAAGATGCCACGGAAACAGTAAGGCTCTAAGAAATGGGTGATCAGGGGAAGATTTCTGTAGAAGTGCTGCCTTTTAAACTGGAGTCGAAAAACCTCTTTGCCAGGCACAGTAGCACAGCTTTATAATCTCAGTTACTCAGGAGGCTGAGGCAGGAGAATGGCAAGTTCAAGGGCAACTTAAGTGATTTACTGTGTCCTCTGGGTCTCAAAAGAAAAAAAACATTTTTATTAAAGCATAATGTCCATACAGAGAAATACATAAGTCATAAGTGCACCACACATCCCCATTCTATAGAATGAACATACCCATTCAGGCAGCATTCAGCCCAAGAAACAAAACATTTCCAGAAGTCCAGAAGCTTCTCTGGACTTCCTTTCCTCAAGGGAAACCACTTTCCTCACCTACAACAGCAAAAATGAGTTCTGTTAGGTATGGACGTTTGTGGAACCATGTGGCATATACTCTTTGGGGACTCTTGCTTAACAACATATTGGTGAGGTTCATCCATATTATGAGGATGGTTGTGCTGTCTCTTTGCTGAGTACTGTTCTCTTGTATGACTGCCACAATCAATTTCTCCATTCTACAGTTGGTGGGCATTTGGGTTGTTTTGGGTTAAGTTGGAATTTGAAGAAGGTGAGAAATCATGTCTGACAGAGAGGGCAGAGTAGTCCAGATGGGGAAATGTCCAGAGTAAGAGTCTAGAGGTGGGTCTTATAAAAGGCTAAGCATTAGCTGGTATCCAATGATAGATTGCTGAGTCAGGCAATGTTTTAAGTATTCTGTGTACTCACTCGTTTCATCCTCACAATAGCCCTATGAGGTAGATGCTTTGGTCTCCATTTTACTGATGAGAAAATAGCAGCCTAGAGAAGTTAAGTAACTTACCTAGCTTTACATAGCTAGGCAGTGCCAGAAACCACCATGGGCAGCCTTGCCATCAATGTCAAATGAAGGAGCTTAGGTTCAGAAAGGTTAAATACATTGCCTAAGGTCTCACATCCCAGAGCTGAACCCAGCAGTGTCTGATGCCAGAAATATAGCTCTTTCCACAAGACCCAAATGCTCCCCTTAGACTTGAAAAATGGCTAGCAGCACATGGCACTAGCTAACCTGCATGCATGACTGCCAGCAAGCCCTCACCCCAAAGGAAGGCCAGGCAGAAACCCAACTGGGTCAAGGGTGTCAACTTATTCCTGGGTGGAGGTCACCCCAGGGTCACCAAAAGGCAGTAGGGATATTGGGACTGCTCCTAAAGTTGGAGGTAGGTCTAGGAAAAGGCCACTCTGGGTGGACCCTCATCCTCAGTCACCCAAAGAATATGTGTTCGTCCTTTCCATCTCCCTGATTGAGAAGCAGCCAGCTGGGCCTGAGCCCTAGCACCACCTCCATGGCCCTTTTCGATCATCTTCTGCTTTGGGCTAAGGCTGGGACCGAAGGGCCTTCACACAAGGTCCTGGAAGCCAAAGGCCCCTCCTCCCAGTCCCCAGACTGCAGATTAGTGACAGAAAAGGCCTAGGGAAAGAGCTGCAATTAGAGAGCAGCCCAGCCATGAGTTTACTCTTCCCTAACAAAGCCTACTTCTGGCCCCACGCCTGCCCTCCTCCTCACTTTCCAACCTTACCAGTCCCTGGGGCTTCAAGGGCAACTCTCGGCCTCCTGGTCTACAGACCAGGCTAAGGGGTGGCAGAAGGAAGGCCATAATAGGATCCATCAGCCTATAAATAGCACCCCAGCCTGCACTTGTTGGGCCCAGGCCAGCTCAGTGCCCGCCCTCTCTCTGTTCCCTCTTTTCCATGTAATTAGAGGAGGAAGTTATCCAGGCAGCTGCATCCTACCATACAAGAGGAGGAAATAAATGGAAGGTGGAGGACAGAGGAGAAAGAAAGGGCGACAAGAAGCAAAGAATAATGGGAGGGGAAAACTGAGGAAGGAGGATGGAAGAAATGCATGGGAACCACAGCAGTCACTATATGGTCATACTTTCCCTCTATATATCCACTCACAGTCCCCTTTTCTAGGTCCCCAAGGTAGCAGAGAGGAGGCTTTCTGACCTAAGCTGCTGGCACCCCAGTCATGTGGCCACAGTGATGCTTGTGACTGCTTGGCCTGACCGCTGACCTAGTTTCTGCTCAGCTACCTCTAGGAATGTGTGGCCCTTGACCCCTGATTGCCAAATTCACTTTGGTCAAGACCCAGCAAAAGTATTAGACTGCTGCACTGCAGTTCCCAAGAGATGGGACCAATTGTGTGTGTGTTGGCGGACAGGTAATACTGTCCCTGACCTGGGGATTAGCCACCGGACACCCACACACACTTTGAGTAGGAAAGAGGATGTGAAACCTTCAGCTTTGTGTGGCTTTGGTTCCTTAAGCCCTTATCTCGGGCGTCTGCAGTCTATCCCGATCAATCTGTCTGGCCATCTGTGAACTCTGGTTCCTGTATGTATCTTCTGGTCTTGACTGTTTATTTTGATGCAGGCTAAGCCTCAACTTCTTGTGTCTACAGCCTGCCCCTTTACCTGCCTTGCCCTGGTTTCTGGCTGCCATCTTACCATGTCCATGCACATAAAGAAGGCTAGTTTCCTAAATGACCTCGTTTCCAGTCTCATCAACACCACCAACAGGTCATGCCTGAAAGTCCAAACACCCACAAACTTCAACACTCACCAACTCATCACATTCATATCTAAGATTAAAAGCTGAGCTGAATAAAGAGAAAATGGAAGCTTTCTTGAATTAAATAAGCCCAATAATTTGTGCACAAACATCTAAATGCCTTCTGTGAGTAAACCTCTACTGTGGTTTTCTTTAAAAAGCATAATGCCAGATCTTGCTGGCTTTGGGTGAGATTGCCTCGATCTTACAAGTTCATCAGGCCGGAGGCCCAGTATGTTTCCTCCTATCACTGACTACAGACCAGGCTCGGTACAGGCTCAGATCATGGAGGCCAGAGCCATGAGGTTTGGGAGGGATTTGCTCTCAGTTAACTTCTGATGAAATTCTTGCATGTGCTGAGGGGTACATTTCATCTGACTCATTCAATTTTTCACTGCAGGCTTTTGGACTGAACTTCAAATACTGAAGGAAATTTGTGCTTAGTTTAGGACCTCACTGAGGTCTAAGGGTTCTGAGATTGGGAGCTTGGCCTGTGGCCCGGGATAAGGTGAAGAACAGGATAAAACCACATAGCTCTAAGGACATCTTGACATTTCACCCCTAGTCCTGGGCCCTTGCGCACGTGTGTGTGTGTGTGTGTGTGTGTATACTTGCACACATACATATGAGGGGCAGATTGGGAGGGGAGAACAGATGGACCTCATGCAGCTATTTTAGCACCACTGATTGCAACACAATTGTTTCTTCCAGCTCTCCCTTCAGCGCTCCAGCAGCTTCAAGGATTTTGCCAAATCCAAACCCAGCTCCCCCGTGGTGAGCGAGAAGGAATTTAATCTGGATGATAATGTGAGTTTCAGGACCTCCTTAGGGGATTTGGCTACGGGCCCCTGGTGGGGAGTGGGGGTGGGAGGGAGGAGGGGGAAGAGGAAATACTAGGATTGTTGGGGCAAGGTCTCCTTTAACAGAAAGCTTGCCTCAAACACACCAAAGTTCTGGGCCCCCAGCACTCACCTGCATTCCTTTCAATTACAAATTAAATAGCAAATTAATTCTAAACTAGTTGAGCTGAGGACAGGACTGGGTCTAAGGAGGAAGATGAAGGTGTCTCAATTCTAACCACCTTCCAGCCTCTGCCATGACCCAAAAGGCCTTTTTACTTCAAGTCCTGGACCCAAGCAAGGTCACCAGGGTCCCTGGACCTCCTTTTTTGTTGTCACAGATTCCAGAAGATGACTCAGGTGTTCCTACCCCAGAGGATGTTGGGAAAAGTGGCAAAAAGCTGGGGAAGAAGTGGAGAGCAGTGATTTCCCGAACCATGAACAGGAAGATGGGCAAGATGATGGTGAAGGCCCTGTCAGAGGAGATGGTGAGGCCTGGGGACCTGTAGAGGCACTCTGTAGGGTATAAGGGTGAGGATGACCATCTGGACAGCCACTGCTCAGGCCAGAAGGCCCTATTCAATGCAAGCAGAAAGGTCATACAGGAGGAAGAGCACGACATCAACCATGGATACAACAGCCAGGCTGAGAGTTCAGGAGGCTGGCTGGGAAATGCAAGGTCTTTGAGGAGGAATGGAAATTTGGGCAATAGAAGCTTCCAGTAAAGACAGGGGTGTGGGAGGTGCAGCTGAAGGGGAGAGATGAGATGGACTGCCTGAGACAAATCCATCCACCTCCAAGATTTGCCTGGAGCTAGCCCCTGGGATTGGGAAGGCCCAGTTCTTGAAGAGTATAAAGAAAAATATACATACTCCTTCATTTATGATGGGGTTATGTTCTGATAAACTACTCATAAGTTGAAAATGCTGTAAATCAAAAAGATGGAGCTGTATCCTGATAAACACATCATAAATTGAAAACACTGTAGGTGAAAAGTACATTGGCTATGCCAGCACTCTGGGAGGCCCAGCATGAGATCACAAGTTCAAGACCAGCTCAGGTGACTAGTGACTTAGCAAGATCCTATCTCAAAATAAAAAATTTAGAGAAGGGCTAGGAATATACCTCAGTGCTAGGAATATACCTGGGTTCAAACTCCAGTACTGCAAAGACAAAAAAAGAAGAAAAGCAGTGAATACCCCTAACCTACAGAACATCAGAACTTATGGCAACACAGCCCACTGTAGAGTGTTGGTTGTTTCTCCTCATGAACTTGGTGCTGACTGGGAGCTGCAGCTGCCCAGCACCAGAGAGGATCAGACCCCATAGTGCCAACCTGGGAAAAGATCCAAATTCAAAACTAAAAGTGTGGTTTCTACTGAATGCATATCACTTTCACATCATCATAAAGTCATAAGATTGTAAATTGAACCATAGTTAAATTGAGAGATCATAGACAAAATTGAGAAGGCTGGCTTCAGCTCAAGAGGAAGGTGGCAGAGCTGTGGGACAGACACAGCCACAATAGCTTAAGGCACGCAGAATCTGGTGTGCTTGTAGCTGTTAGAGGAGGCACCAACCCGTAGTGTGCTAGACTCGGCTTGTGAAAGCAGTTGGTTAAATTGTCAGGAATTTTGCAAGCTGGTTGTTAAATACAACCATTATTTTTTTAAATTATATAAATGTACAATTAAATAAATTCTATTAAAAGCAAGGGTGATCCCATAAATCTTCAGAATTCATCACACCTGTTACACCTATCTGTCATTGAGGATATTTGCATCTATAGTGTCTGTGGAGTAGAAATAACCTAGCTATCTCCTCCCACCACTTATCTGGCGACATCACAGTGGTAGCCTGATGTTGGCTATGGTGTGAGATACATACAACACAAGAATTGGCAAATCATGGAGGCTTTTACTCTTGGAGAGCCAGGTGTTAAACAGCATCACCCTGAGATACGGTGAGCTGGGCAGAGCTCTGGAGTCAGGCCAAGCTGGTTGTGGATTCCTACGGGCCCTGGCAGGGTAACTCTTCATCTGCAAACTTAGGCCAACCATATCACTTATCTCCAGGGATCACCTTGAGGATTAAGTGAAATGGCAGGCAAGCCTGGCACATAGGAGAGCACAGGCAAGCAGTTTGCTCTCAGCAGCAATGTCTGCCTGATTGAGCTATATCAATGGCCCTGAGCCCAAGCTTGGCCACCGTGGCCTTTTCTGCATGTACATCAGCACTTGAAGGTGATGAAGCATAGTCACCCAGCACCCTGGTGAGCCTTGTTCCAGGAGGTAGGCAGGACAAAGATTGTCAACTAGGGTTCAGAGAATGTCACTGAGCCTGTAGGTAACAGAGCTGAAGTTTGAGCCAAGCCCAGGCTCAGTTCTGCTACCTCAGCAAGGCTGCTCAGGCCTTCCTGCCTACCTTCCCTACAGGGAGACACGCTGGAGGAGGGCTCAGCCTCCCCAACATCTCCAGATTGCAGCCTGGACAGCCCTGGTCCTGAGAAAATGGCCCTGGCCTTTGCTGAGCAGGAGGAGCATGCACTCCCAGTGCTCAGCCGCCAGGCATCAACGGGTGAGTAGAGTAGGTGGGGGGACACCTGCTGAATCTAGAGGAAAGGATGGGAGAGCAATATGCCAGTGGGCTGTCTGGGAGGGGGTGGTAAGAAAAATGTCTCCTGTCTGCCTGCTGGAAGCTTTCCCAGGCCTCTTCACATTAAATCTTCCCAACAACCTCATGGAACAGATACTATTATTCTCACTTCATTGATGTGGAAACTGGGGCTTAGGGAGGTTAAGTGACTTGCTCAAGGTGGCCCAGTCTTGAGCTCAGCTCTGCCCTAGAGGAGCTTCCACTTGCTGTCCCTAGGCCCTGGAAGGGGCCATGAGCAGAGGAAGAGCTTCATTGCCCTCTTGGACCAGTATGTCCCCACCCTTCCAAGGGCAGGTAGAAGCTACAGCCCCTTGGGCCTCTGATACCCCAGACTGGGGTGGGAGTATAGGTTCTCTAGCTGTGAAGAGCCTCTTGGACCCCAGACCTTCTTTGGTTGGCTGAGCTCAGGGCACTACTTGGCAACTTTTAGAAGTCCGGGGACTGGACAAGAGGTACCCTGCTTAGAGGGGCTGGGGTACTGGCCTGCAGCCCTGAGGAGGCACTGCTTCTCTTGTCCCTCAGACCTATTCCAAGTTTCTCACTCTGGCTCCACAGACATTTCTCTGCCACTCCCAAAGCCACCTAAAATGCCCATCACCCTGCCCTTCCCAGGGAGAAAGCTCACCTGAGTTTCTGTGGGACACTGTAACTGAACACTGAATCTTATTAAATAGAGAAAGTAAAATATTAATGCAAGGTGTGGCTCCCTGGGGTGGGAGAGCACTGGAATGGGAGTCAACAGACCCAGTGCTGCCACGTGTAAGAGGCCTCAACAGATCACTTGGTGTGGCTGGCCTTTAGTTTCCTTATCTGTTCATTGGAGTGTTGGCCCAGTTGGGCCCTCGAGGCCCTCCCAATTTGCCCATTCTCTGGTCTTTGAGCTGTCTGTCCTGTTGCCAACTCTTTTCATTATCTGAGGTCCCAGAGGTGAAGCTGTGCTTCTCCAGGGTGGCCGAGGAGATGGGTCCAAATCACTCGCTCAGCAGAGTGCAGCTTTCCTCCCTAGCATTTACCCTTGGGACTTCTAGAGGGCCCCCTGGAATGCGCCTGCTGGGCACTGCCAGCTGTCCTGGAGCAAAGGTAAGTCTCCTCCCTGCCAAATCTCCTGCAGGCAGTGAGCTCTACAGCCCCAGCACAGGCTCTGGGAGCTTCGGGGAGGAATCACCTGCCCCACTGTACATAGGACCCTTCTGTGGCCGAGCTCGAGTCCACACTGACTTCACTCCTAGCCCCTATGACCACGACTCCCTGAAACTGCAGGTAAGGTTGGCATCCAGACTCCTCCAGAGCCTGGCAGCCATAAAGGAGTCTGGACTGAGCCAGGGTAAAACAGAATCAGCAGAAGCCAAGTAACTCCCTGCTCTCCTCTCTTCTCCCCTCCCCCACAGAAAGGAGATGTGATCCAGATCATTGAAAAACCACCTGTGGGCACATGGCTGGGCCTGCTCAATGGCAAGCTGGGCTCTTTCAAATTCATCTACGTGGATGTGCTGCCTGAGGAGGCTGTGGGGCCTGCCCGCCCCAGCCGCCGACAGAGCAAGGGCAAAAGGCCCAAGCCCAAGACTCTGCATGAGTTGCTGGAGCGCATTGGTCTGGAGGTTTGAACTTGGACCTACGCTCGGGTCTAGGAACAAGGGAGGCACACTTGCCCCTGGGGTGGGGGCTGGGGAATGACAGCTATGGGTAAGGGGCAGATTCTAGGCAGGGGTGGCTTATAAGCAGCAGTGTCAGTGACCTGCCTCTGCCCCCAGGAGCACACGTCCACCCTGCTTCTCAATGGCTACCAGACACTGGAAGACTTCAAAGAGCTACGGGAAACACACCTCAATGAACTGAACATCACGGACCCACAACACCGGGCCAAGCTACTCACGGCTGCAGAGCTGCTGCTGGACTATGACAGTGAGTGGCCTTAGGAGCAGGGGGATGGGCATACAATGCTGTTGGCATTCCAGAGGACAAATCCTTGCCCTGGTCCTGTCCCCTGACCACACACTACCCTGAAGCACCTTTGCAGTAGGAAGGCACTTTGCATGCTTGAGTCTCAGGGAAAGTTTGTGGGAGTAAGGGGTTGTAGAGGTTTTCAGGCCCCATCCCATTTTGGATCAGAGGGAAGACTTAAGGCCAGAGAAGGTAAGGGATTTATGTGGAGCCTCAAAGCTGGGAAATACAGCCAGGGTTCAAGCCAGGTTGCCAGGATTCAAGCTCAGTGCTGGAGAAGTTTAAGCCCCCAGGCCACCATGGAGCAGCCTGCAAACTCTCACCCACTTCTAAGGTGGAAGTGGTGAGAAGAGGGTGGTAGGAGGGTCAGAGGGCCCAACTGCCTCCAGGAGACTTCCCAGAGCTCCCAACCCTGCCAGGGGGCTCCCCAGGACTTCTGGCCCCTCAGTGAGGTACCCACATTCTCTCTTCCTCCCCCACCCTGGCAGCTGGCAGCGAGGAGGCTGAAGAGGGCGCTGAGAGCAGCCATGAGCCAGTGGTGCACACAGTGTCAGAACCCAAGGTGGACATCCCTCGTGACTCCGGCTGCTTCGAGGGCTCAGAGAGCGGGCGTGATGAGGTGGAGCTGGCAGGCACTGAGGAGCAGCTGCAAGGCCTCTCCTTGGCTGGGGTACCTTGAGGTAGAGGCTGGGCCTGAGCTGCAGAGGCCACAGGGATGAAAGATCTGCGCCCAGAAGACAGTGCCATGCCTGCCCCTGCTTTCTCAGGGTCACTTAGGGCCACAGGGCTGGCCAGAGCCCTACAGGCTCAGCTGGAGTGGACAAAGGGCCACCCAAAGGCACATCCTACCTGCCGAACCCCTCCCTCTTCCAATGACTGACAGCACAGCCCTCCTGGCACCATCCACTCCCCCAGGCCCCAGCCGTAGCAGGTGGGACATTGAGGGAAGAAAGTTGTGGGGACCACACGTTCCTTCTCCCTAACTTGCTTAGAGGCTTGGCTGCCCAATCACTATGAGACTTGAACCAAGTGCCTTCCCCTCTCTGAGCTTTGTACTTGTCGGAATAGACTGGGTAGTCACTGAGGACCTTCCTGGCCAGCTCTGACACTGTGATTTTAAATTTCTGCTCTCCTGCTTCCTGTGGCTTGGCGAAACACTGGGGCTTACTGAGGAGGCTGGAGTGGCCTCAGGCTTCCAAGTGAAATGTCTCTTTCTGCTTATCCATTTCACACCTTCCCTCAAGACTCAGGCTGAGCTGCAACTTCCTCTAGTTTAAAACAATGCATATACCTCATACAGTGCGTGCACCCTTCCAATCCTGGCCCTCTCAAATTAGACTTCCCAGAAGACTAATAGCAGGTGCTTATACCTGGCTTCCAAGGACACAAATGCCTCTCAGATGCCAGTTGGAAGTCTGGGTCTAGACTTGGCCACGTGTGAGTCCTTACAAACAAAAAAAGCACTGAGCTTGACATTGGGAAGTCCACTAGCCAACACTGCTTTGCTAAAGTTTGGGTGTACCCTGAGCTCCACAAAGTATGGAGGCTATCTGTTGATAAAGTCCTCCCTTGTCCCCAGTAGCCAGTCTTTGCCATGAATCTCCCAGAGGAGCCCTTCCCTGGTATGGGACCAACAGTGCCCACTACCTCTAGAACTTCCTGCTTTGTAGTCACACTTCTTGACCTGCTACCAGGAACTTTGGGGAAAGCTAGCTTTGGGGAAGGGGCTAGGTGTAAATATGAAGGGGAGGAGGGAGACAAATCAGAAGAAATAAAATATAGGTAGAATTAAATTACTGTCTCTAGTTATCTTTCCTATGGAGTGAGGGTTTGTGGGGAGGGACAAACAGGTCTTCATAGCTGGTCTCAGCAAAATGTCCCTCCACTGATCTTTCAGGGCTATCCACCCCCTCCTTGATAATGCCCAGTGCCCTCGGTTCTGCTTACCTAAAGCTCCATCTGAATCCTTGGCTGGCTCTGCCCTTCCATTTGAGCAGCCGTTCTGAGAGCAGGGCTCTGGCTTCCATGGCTACAGCTTTTCTGGGGTCTGAGAGTGGGACAGAAGGGAAACTATTTCCATTTTCCTTTAACAGTTCATTTTAACAAGAGCCTTGAAAACCCTCTTTCCTGTGAAGAAGGGCCAGCATTGGAGGGCTGTCCAAGGTGCAAGAGGGGGAGAGCCGTGGTCAGCACAGCCTTTCCCCTTAAGCCCTGTGCCTACTAAAGCTGTGTCAGGCCGGATGGAGATGGAGACACTGACTTCCTGTTGCTGCTGCATTCACTGCATTAGAGAAGGCAAACTGGAGTGAGAATTGTCACTGGAGTGAAGGCAAGGCTACTCTCTTTCCAGGCTGGCTTCTCAGCTACACTCATCCCAGTGCCTGTAGTGACTGTAGGCATCAGGAATCTAAGTGTTATCCTCACCCAAGAAGCAAGAGCCCTAACAGCCTCAAAGCCACAAGGGAACTGAGTAACTACTGCCCTTAGTGAGCACAGGCACTGAGAACTTTACATATATTATACCATGTAATCTTCAGTGTCCTCGAGGTACGCCATCATCATCTCAATTTGCAGAGAAGGAAACTGAAGCTCAAAGAGGCTGATTATGAAGTTGCAGAGCCAGGAGTCTGCCTGACTCTCAAGGCCATGTTCTTAACAGTGCTTCTCAAAAGGCCTCTTCCAACAAACTTTTCAGAGGCATAGGCAGTTCGGAGGGCAATCTGACCATTGACTCAGACTTTCATCTTCCAAGATATGGTCTACAAAAAGAGCCACACAAATGCACAAAGATATACAGACAAAGACAGATCTGTCTGCAATATTAAAAACTTGGGAGCCTGGGGTGGTGATACATTCCTGTATCCCAGCACTCTGGGAGGCCAAGGCAGGAGGACTGGAAGTTCAAGCCCAGCCTGGACAACTCAGTGAGACTGTCTCAAAATAAAAAATAAAAAAGGGCTGGGGATGTAACTCAGTGCAAAAGCCACAGTTCTGTCCCCAGTAACCCCTTTCTCCCCTCCAAAAATAAAGAGAAAAAAAAGGAAACAACACAAACCGCAAATTAGATGGAATCAGGTGTGTCCAACCTGCAGCCCATGGGTCAGACACACCGAAGTTACTATAAAAAATATTTTTAAATAAAGGAATTTTTGTGACTTATGTACATTAAATGTGGTTTTTTTCAGTGCTGGGGATTAATCTCAGGGCCTTTATACAGAGCTACATCTCTAGCCCTTTCATAGAATTTTGAGACAGGGTCTCACTAAGTCACTAAGTTGGCCAGGCTGGTCTTGAACTTGCAATCCTTCTGCCTCAGCCTCTCAGAGTGCTGGCATAACTATATTATATATTTTATATGTGACCTAAAACAATTTCTTTTCACACTGTGTGGCCCAAGCAAGCCAGACAGGCCACAGGTTAGACATGCCAATGTGTGTTCATACAATACAACGTGGCCATTAAACATGGTATTGTAGTAGAAGACTAATGACACAGGGAAATCATGAATTTTTACTCTTAAATTTAAAAATTGTATAAATATATACCAACATTTTGTTGTACAAGAAGTTGGTATTTTATCAAGGGAAAAGCAAGTACTTAAAAATATTTATAGGGCCATTCCATTTTTATCTAAGTAAAGAAAAACACACACAGAATAAAAGACTGGAAAGATCAGCAACAAATGGTTATGGGTGATGGTTTTGTGAGGAACATGGGGTGGGACCGGGGAAGAGGGCTAGAAGTATTCACTTTCTACATTCTTGTTTCATTTGAATTTCAAAAGTATCTATTACTTTTATATCTATAAAAAGGAATGATATTTCAATTTTTTGAAAAATAAAACATAAATGGAGCCCAAACCTCTGATCTCTAATATAATAAAGTAGCAACAAAGACATCTGGAAAAATGAGGGTGGTGGAGTAAATAATGTCCAAAGTGCTTTAAAGAAATTCCTACACTCTAGAGGGGCCCTATCAGAGGAGATTCTTAAACCTTTTAAAACCCCTAGAGAGGGCTGGGAGTGTAGCTAGTGGTAGAGCAGTTGCTTAGCATATACAAGGCCCTGGGTTCGAACCCTAGCACCCCAAACAAACAAAAATACCCTGGGTAATGGCTATTAGCTGAATGCTAAAGAAAGGAAAATATCAGAAAAACAGAAATCCCTAAGAAAATGATGTTTTGGAATCCTCCACAATCCTGGAGATGGGGATGGGGAGTGGGAGGATGTCCAAGAGCTACTGGGCTCAGTTTGGCCTGTAAGGTGATTGCAGGGTGCATAGAGAGCTACACAAGGGCTCCCATGATCAAAGGAGTTTGGGAGCAGCAGGTGTGGAGGGGAATCAAAGAAATGCAGACAACAGGCCAGGGCCTGAGGAGTGAAAAAGGCAATGATGAGCAGAACCACAGGTCAGCCTTGAAGCTCCTCCTCCAGGCAGAGCTGCCAGAACCTCTTGTCCAGCCTGTGGACTTCTAGAAGATGCCAAGTAGTGTTCTGATATCAGAAAACCAAGATCTGGGGTCCAAGAGGCTGACTCTTCTCAGCTAGAGACCCTAAACTCCCACCCTGTTCTGGGGTGCCAGAGGCCCAGGGACCTTTAACCTCCAGCTCCGTGTGTAGATTTTTTTTGATCAAGGCTAGTTGGAGTCCTATATGCCTCCCTTATCTGTATGTCAAGTTCTTTTCTCCTGCTTGGGAAGTTTTCTACCATCACTTCTGTGAACAGTTTTTTTTATGTTGTCTGCACTCTCTCCTGTTTCTTCATTGACTCTGATCAGTCTGATGTTATTCTTCTTTGCATCATCTAGGAGCTGCTGGATTGATTTCTCATGGTCCCTTATTATTTTAAAGAAATTTTTCTTTTCCTGGTCACTAATTGGAATCTTATCTTCTATATCTGAAATTCTGTCCTCACATTGGCTCATTCTACTGCATAAACTTTCAATGGAGTTTTTAATCTCCTGGAAATCTGTTTGCATAAGTTTTATGGATTCCATTTGTTTCCTATGTTGGGACTCCATCATGTTCCTCAGCTACTCTATTTTTTCATCTGTGTCCTCTCTAGATTTATCAATCATGTCTTGCACTACGGGCACAATCTCTGCTGTTATCTGAGAAATTATTTCTGATTTCATTTTTTCCAGATCCTCTTTTGTTGCCAGTTCAGGGAGTCCAAGTGGTTGAGTATCAGACTGTTCCATCTTGTTTCCCTTTGAGGTTCCCTTAGGTGATCTAGAAGTCTGCTTTTGAGGCTTGTTTACATGTTTTCTCATTTCAACATATGCAGCCTGCTATGCCTTTGTTGAGGCAACATTTTGCTCACCCAGTGGTCTTCAATTCTCAGCAATCCATAGAGCTGCCTTTTCTCTGCTGCTCACCAGTACACTAATTCCTGGGTTCAGAAAGGTGGCCTTCTGGATCCCTGAGCTGACCTGTTGTCTGAGTGGGCTTCTGGTTGGGGCCTGTGCACACTTGGGATGATATCTAGATGTGCCACTGGCTAGGGCCCTATGTAGCTGTTGTCTGGGAGGGTCTTTGGCTGGGGGCTGTGCACTCCAGTTCCTGTTGTGTGATGTTTTTCTTTTTGGGGGGGGGTACTGGGGATTGAACTTGGGACCTGGTGCTTGCAAGACAGGCAGCAGAACCACTGAGCTAAATCCCCAGCCCCAGCTCCCTCTGGAGTGGTGGGGATGCACTGGTCTCAGAGGGATGACTGGGCTTGGGGACAGTAAGCACAACCTCCTCTAGGGCCGGTGAGGCTTAGCATTTAGGACTCACTTGCTGGGCTACCTTAGACAAGTGACTTAACCTTAAGCCTCAGTTTCTACATCAGTAAAATAGGGATAACAGTACTAGCCCTATAGGGCTATTATAAAGATTTAATAAACTAGTTATATACTTAGCACAGTGTCCAGCACAAAATAAAGCCCCAGTGAATAGCATGTCTGATTGCTTCAATCTGTTCTACCTTGGTACTTTCATTTCACTCTCTTCAAGGCCCATCTCACCTCTGACTCCTAGTTAGTACAGTGACCAGGAACGAAGGCTTCAGAGTTAAAGTGTTTCCAAATTCTGACTCCACCACTTAGTAGCTACATGACTCCAGGGAAGTTACATATATATGCATTTCTTTACTATAAAACAGGAATAATCATCTAATAATACCTACCTCCTGAAGTCGTTAGAGAAATGAGGTAATATAAATTAAGTTCCTGGCATTCAGTGACAATAAATTGTAGCTATTTGACCTTTCTGTAACCTCCAGGCACAAATAACTGGGCACAAAGGGCACATCAATATGTGTTTGTCTGCAGACCGACATTCAGCATTGCCATGACCCAGACACACAACTGATATTCAAGCACTCAGGAGGTGATGAGTTTCAAGGGTTGATGAGGGTGTGGGCTCTCGTATCCAGAGAGGCTGGTGATGGAGATAAAGCCCACCTGAGGAGTCTCAGGCAGCCCTAGCTCTGCCTAGTTCATAGTAGGATGATCAGCCCTGGGCATTTGACTTCTGTTAGGCAATTCCTTTGGACTGCCATTGGCTGGTAGAAAGAAGAAGATCATGGCCAGATTCAAGAAAGAGTCCAGCCAGCTCCTCCCAGTTCATGGGGAGAGCCACTTGCCCCTTCTCCTTCCCATCAGGGGAGGCAACTAAGGCACTGGGCCATCCTAACCCAACACTCTCCCCTCTCACTTGCTGCTTCCGTACCGCATATCCCTACCTGAGACCACCCAATCAGGTTCTGATCAGCTCCCCGAAGGTCTCCACACAAACCCTTTCCTACCACCCCCAACCCCTATGGCAATGAGTCCCCAGCTTCTGCTAGCTGCCTTCCAACATCTCACTCAATGAGCTCCCCTCTCAGGCTTTTCAAGGAAGTGGAGGCTGCAGTTGGGCCATTAGAGACCAAACAAATGCTAAATACAGTTTCTAGTAAGGGAAAAAAGCACACTGATCCCCAAAGCCACAACAGGGCCCAACACCTTCCCTCCTCTCAAGTCAGGAAATTCTGGATAAGGTATGAGGTTTCCCAGCTGGGAAAAGAAGTAGCTTTCCCGGCTCTCCTTCACAATAGAAGCCACCTTAGCTTCTCACACAACGGTGGCCACATTACATAGTATTCAGCCCACAACACAATCAAGTGGGAAGGAACTGCCTCCCCTCTAGACCCAGCCAAGACCCCTCCTCCAGGAAGGACCTAAATAAATGGAATTCTATAGTACTTAATATGTAGGCTTCACCTTTTCCTATAATTTCACAGTGACCAATACAGCATTTGTATACCATTGCCTCTGGGACCTGCCAGGGATAGCGTCAGAAAGAGCCCAGAGCAATGGCCCTCACAAAGGGACAGCCAACTTGACTGTGGGAACCGGCAAGGCAACTTCCTGACTTTCTGTACTAAAGAAACCCCACCATCAGTTCAACCTAAGTGCAGGGATCTAGAGAGAGATTTAAGTTTAAAACAAAAACCCAACAGCCACCCCATGTCATCATCAGTATATATAGTCAGCCAACTATATATCTAAAATGGCGAGATCATCAGTAATATTAATCCAAAATGAAAAATAACCCTAAAATCATTACTGTTTCTCAATTTACTTACAAGAGAATAGGGCCAGCAATGCTATTTCTTCTAAAGTTAACACATGGTCAGTATTCCACAAGGATTTATTGACTGTGAAATAAATGAAAGACTCATTTCATTCAAATGACATTTGCAGTTATTCAAACTCCTTTTTCTGTCTATATCTGCTTGACAGGGGCAGTGAGTTATGCTAGAAAGCTCTCTGGACTGGAAGTCAGTGAATCTTGGTCTGGTCTTGGCTCTGTCCGTAATTCTTTGTGAGCCCTGGGTAAGATACTGTACTTCAGGGGTGGGTAGATACGAAATACGATAGCACAAGGGCATGAAATGGACTACAAATACGATCAATTTGTTCCTTTCAACTATGTTGGTCAACAAAGCCTCTTTTTATGACAAATATATCACCATGTCTCTTATTTAAATATAAAATTCCAACTCTTTTGGCCAAGTTGGAACAGTCAAATACCTGCTGATGTACAGCCAAATAGGTGTGCAGTAGACTGCAAAGAAGACAGTGGGAAGGAGGGCTT